AGTATATCTTATTTTACTACTCATCATACACATTGTGCTCAAGTCAGAATGTACAACCAACTATTGTCAACATACATATACTAGCAGACTCGTGTCATATATACATTCAAGCTCGTACAAATACATAGTAAGGAGGGAAATCAGGAGGGAGGATAAGAGAAGAAGGTGGTGGGGAGAGAATAGAGAGCAGGAGGAAGAGAAGATGACCTGGAGTGAGTATGCATTTGCTAGTCCTATAGGCAGTTTGAGTTCCTCTGAGCTCTCCAAGCCTGAGCAGCTTACCATGCTGAGTATGGTTTTAGCAGTTGTAAGATATAAATTTTTTATACAACATAACCTCCACACGTAAGCCAACTATTTTGCCTGGTGCTCAACTGAATAAAGAGAACTTATTCCTTTACTGGAGAAAAACATGACTGTGTTGGACTTAAGGGGACCTGGTATAAATGTATACTGTATCTTATGGATGAACTGAATCGAGACATCTTTCTTACGGTGCAAGAATTTGGTCTTAAGACGGCTTCAGGTGCTATTCTTTTCTACTCTCCTTGCCTCCACATCTTTACCCTTAACCCAAAATGTGAAAACTGCACAGCTTAAAACACTTGTCTGACTCCATGGACTGCAAAGAATCAAGAAGATCTGTCACTGAATTTCTCTCAATCTACTTATTTATATGCACTCATCTTTAAAGTGTTAAAAAACAAAGATGTCACTTTGAGGACTAAGGTGTGCCTGACCCAAGCTATGGTATTTTCAATACCCTCATATGCACGTGAAAGCTGGACAATGAATAAGGGAGACCAAAGATGAACTGATGCATTTGAATTATGGTATATATTATTGAATATGCCATGGACTGCCAGAATAATGAACAAATCTGTCTTGGAAGAAGTACAGCCAGAATGATCCTTAGAAGCGAAGATGGTGAGACTACGTCTCACTTCCTCTGTGCATGTTATCGGGAGGGACCAGTCCCTGGAGAAGGACATCATGCTTGGCAAAGTAGAGGGTAAGCAAAAAAGAGGAAGACCCTCAATGAGATGGACTGGCACAGTGGCTGCAACAATGGGCTCAAGCATAACAACGATTGTGAGGATGGCACAGGACCAGGCAGTGTTTCGTTCTGTTGTGCAGAGGGTCGCTATGGGTTAGAACCGACACTATGGCACTTAACAACATCTTTTACTTGAAGACAGGATCTATACCACATATTTATAAACCCTTAGTGCCTAGCCCAGTGCCTTGTATACAGTCAGCAAGTATTCATTAAATAAAGAAAAAGTGCAAATGAAAGAAAAGAAGCAACACTGGCTGGCGACAAGTACATTTTAGCAATGGCTAAATGATTTTTTTTAAAGAAAGCTTACGAAGCAAGGCCTAGGGGTCTGGACATATTCTAGTTAACATTTTCAATTGGTGTGATGACAAAAGAGCTTGCTAATCATACCTAGTGAAAACTCAAGCTGGGAATAGAATTCTTAATATAATGGGGAATATAATCAAGATTCAAACAATAGGACATTTTGTAAAACGGTAAAATGGAGTACAGATAAGTAGATAAGTGCATTTAGTATGGGGAACAATAAGTAGTATCACCAGTAACTGTAAGTGGAAAAACACCTAAGTTTTATGTGTCTAATTTCAACACAAGACAACTTTTGTAACAATGATAATGCAAGTGTCAATGCACAACAACATTTCTCATACTTAGAGGGATACTGATAAACTGGAAGGAGTCTAGAAAGATGACAAAGATGATGGGGGAGGGAGATACGGAAAAGATCACAGAGGTGAGAGATGTTTAAATTATTGGAGAAAAGGTAGGAAGAACAGAATATAACAATCCTTCCTTGATTCCTCTTTCACTCTTATCCCACTCAACTATGAGCATGTACTGTGAGCTTTAGCTCCTTGCTACTTTTAAGCTTGCCCTTCGAAATCCATTTGCCACAAAGCAAGCAAATTCATTTTCTTAAGCTTTAATTCAGAACTTATCCATCTCCTGCTTAAAATCCTCTAATGGTGACCTGTAACACTCAGAATATATATGTATATAAACTTCCTGCCATGGCCTAAACATCAGTGTATGATCTGATTCCTTGCTCATTTCATTGAGCTTATTGCTGCTTTTCCTTTCCCTCATTCAGCTATAGTCACACCAGCTTTTTTGTCCCATGAACATGCCAAAGTTGTTGTTGTTGTTTTATTTACTGTACTTTAGATGAAGGTTTACAGAGCAAATTAGCTTCTCATTAAACAATTAACACACATATTGTTTTGTGACATTGGTTACCAATCCCATGATATGTCAACACTCTCCCCTTCTCAACCCTGGGTTCCCCATTACCAGCTTTCCTGTCCCTTCCTGCCTTCTCGTCCTTGCCCCTGGGTTGGTGTGCCCCCTTAGTCTTGTTTTGTTTTATGGGCCTGTCTAATCTTTGGCTGAAGGGTGAACCTCGGGAGTGACTTCAGTACTAAGTTAAAAGGGTGTCTGGGGGCCATTCTCCAGGGGTTTCTCCAGTCTCTGTCAGACCAGTAAGTCTGGTCTTTTTTTTATGAGTTAGAATTTTGTTCTACATTTTCCTGCAGCTCTGTCCAGGACCCTCTATTGTGATCCCTGTCAGAGCAGTCAGTGGTGGTAGCCGGGCACCACCTAGTTGTACTGGATTCAGTCTGGTGGAGGCTGTGGTAGCTGTGGTCCATTAGTCCTTTGGACGAATCTTTCCCTTGTGTCTTTGGTTTTCTTCATTCTCCCTTGCTCCAGATGGGGTGGGACCAGTGGAGTATCTTAGATGGCCACTTACAAGCTTTTAAGATCCCAGATGCTACTCACCAAAGTGGGATGTGGAACATTTTCTTTATAATAAAGTTGTTCTTAATTCAGCCTTTACTTGTTTCTCTGGGCCTGAAATGTTCTACCTCTAGATCTTCACATGGTTGACTGCATCTCACTATTCAAGTCTAAGTATAAAGCTCATCTTCTCAGTCACCTTTCTTGACCACTTTAGCAAAAGCAGCACTCCCTGCCCCCTCCCCTCAAATATTATTCTATTTTATCTTACTCATATTACTCATCAGTAATTTACTTTTGTTTGGGGTTTTCTCTGTCTTGCTCCACTAGAATTTAAGTGCCCTGAAGACAGGGATTTTTATATTCTACCCCATGTCTATCCCTCAGTTCCTAAAACAGTGTGTGTCATGGAGTTTATTCTTAAACATTTGTTGAATATGATTTATTCTGCATAAAGCCCATATAATACTTAGGGAATTGAGATCAAATGACAGGTAGATTTTAGTCCAATTTGTAAAGAATTTCAAGAATTATAATGAAGCAATAAGAATGTTTAAGTTGCTGGATGATCACAAATTATTGATGCTATAGAAGGGATTACTGAATTAGGCAGGAGTTTTGACTAAATGAACTTTAAAATTCTTTCCAATTATAAAATCCTAGTCTATCCAAAATGGAATGAGTTACTTTCAGTCTATATAGCTTTTGGGTTTTACTGGCAAAGTGATGAAAAATCATGGGTACTCACTTGAAGATAAAGGCTTCTATATATATTGTGCCATCCCTTTATCTTAGGCGATCTGAATTAGCATCTAGTTTATGCCTATCTCCAACTTAGTAAACATCTTCGGGGACTTTAGATAACTTTCTTCTCAAAAGTAACACTGAACTTGCTATTCAGAGCAAAGCAAACGGATAGACAGCTCGTCCCCCCACTCCAACTCCCAATTATATTTATATAGAGAGTATGGTACCTGGGATTATTGAACTTTTTTAAGGATTTGTACATTACTTGCTGTGATTTGGTTTTCATTCCCTTTTGTCTCCCCCTACCCCTTATGCCCAAGATTAGATAAAACAGTGCAACTGATAAAGGACTATGTCATAAGATAATTCACAGGCATGTTACCATGGCCACACAATTTTTGTTTGAATTTTGGATTTAAGTTTGAGATAATTTTAAAAAACTAGGATTACTTTCAAAATATAGTATTTTTAAAAACAACACAAGCTGACCAAATCAATATTCGTGCAGGAGAAATACTTAACACGAATACTCCTTTAAGAAAGACTAAGTCAAATTTATTTTATCAGTGAGTCTAAAGCAGCATATTCCGAAGTAAGTTTTGGAGGAGACCGATTCCTCAAAAGATACTGGTCAAATAAGTTTGGGAAATACTGTACATTATAATCTTTCTTCCACAATCACAAAACACATTAACACATACAGTCTCTAAAACATTTTACAAAAAAAAAAAAAAAGGACTTGTTGAATTTTTCTAATCCTTCATTTCCCATATTTCTTTGACCAGAATTTCCCAGTAGAAAATAGTTTTAGGGAAACACTACTATATAGCACTGTTTGAAAATGTTACTTCTAAATAGACGTACAAAATAGCTAGGATAGAAACTGTGATAACAAATGAGACGCTTACTAGGATATATATAGTGAAATTGGGTTAGTATATAAGAATTTGTAAAACTTGTATTAAGTATTTAAAGCAGCTAAGAAAAGGGACAATTATAAGATGGAAGATCTAATTAGATAACCAGAAAATTACCATTTTAGTCAAATCTCTATATTAAATGCTAATTTCTCTGCACCAGCAATTATTTTATGATGCCCTCTATTAATAAAGGTACACTTTCAGTATCAGTACTAAAGTTCTCCTGAGAAATCAGGTGGCTCAAGACAGTAGTAGGGAAATACAGGCTGTGAATCTACTAGTTTAGAATCACTTGTGCCTTTGTTCCTCTTTGTACCACAGTGCACTATTTGGAAGGGAAAAAATATTTTTAACATGTAGATTCTCATATTACATTTTGCTAAGATTTCTGGACAATTTTGTTTTGATGTCAGCATAATTCTATGGGAAAAGAAAAAAGCACTAAATAGTTAATACTCCCCCACCCCACCCCCGCCCAAAAAAAAAAAAAAAAAAAAAAAAAAAAAACAGGGACTACAGCAGTTTTAGAAAGCACTTACTTAATCATTTCAAAAAGCTTTGGATCTGAGACCTTGATATTTCGTGCCATATTCCAGGAAAGATGAACCATGGGTACTATTGACTTCACACTTTGCAATTTGTTCCATTCGTACCGTTCCACTGCCAATTTATACTGGCAGGCTAGGAAAAAAAAAACAATTATAAAGCAACCCAACGTACCAAAAGATATGAAGATAACCATTATCACTCTCTCAGGTGATATCTTCAACACCAATTCTGAAAACCTCAAAGCTCTACAAAAATAATTTTTATGTTTATAATTACAGTAACAATAACAGTAGCAATCATGTAATGAGCGCTAACTTATATGCCAGGCACTGTGCTGAGCTATTTTTATATCTCACTTAATCTTTACAAACACCTTATTAATGTTATTATTCTCACTGCATAGATGAAGAAATTGAGGCCCAGAGAGGATAAATAAACTTGCCCGAAGTAGCAAGAGCCAGCTCCTGGTCCTAATCCAGGTCTTTCTTGCTCCAAAGGCCATATTCTTAATCTTAAATGTATAATGCCTAAAGGCAGGCATAATCCAAACAGATTTTGATACAGTAGGGCTGTTCATATGACCAGGTAAGAATATGAAAGAACGAATAACCACTCTGTTTTGCTTTCTCCCATAAAGGGTTTCCTTTATAAAACAAAACCAAGTACTTTAAAAATTATTAAAAGTATTTTCTCTATGCATATAAAGACATAAATTTGTTATTTGCTGAGATCTATGGTCTTAGATTTCCACTTGTTAACTTGAATTTAATTTCTTGTACAACATATTAAGATTTTATGCAAGGAGATACTCTTCTTCCAATTTTAGTGAATAATATTCCAGGCGGGAAAAAAAAAGACATATCAGGTACAATCTTTTATAAATTAATTTTTCTTAACATATTCTTTAAAGTACCTGTAAGTGGACCAACATTCCAAGCAATGTTGTTGCACCAGCCAATAGCTTGAACCCAATGTACAGTGCCTGCATTTATCCAGACCAAATCTCCAGGTCGCTGAATAAACCTATATACTGGAACATTTGCTTCATAAAGATCTTCAAGGTTAGGCCACCAAGAACCCATTAGGAAATTCAAATTATTTCTGAAATAAGAACAAATAATGCAAATGGATCAAGTACTTTAATAAGCTCCTTATGAAACTGGAAGACAATGTCAAAAGTGTTTCAAAAATGTTCATTTATTTCACTGAAACTTAATTGTGCAGTAAGAACTGCTGTATTTAAAAGTGAGTGAAATTAATTACAGGTGAGTATTGGATAACTTATCCAAAGATCAGCATTATTGCCTTAAACTGATTTTTCAAAGATCCAAATGAAATCCAAAGCTATTTTTAAGTAACATTTACATACAATAACTTTTAATTTCATTTTAATAAAAGACTATTTTGATTGAACTCTTTATCCCTGGAGAACCTAGGAATCCCTAAAGGTAAATGGAAGATGAAGTTGACATCATTTAAATCCATAAACAGGAACACTACGGTAGATATAAGTACTAGGAACTACTCTCAATTTCTGAAGGAAAGTAGAAGACAAATCATCTATTGCTGTTTTGAATTCCAAGCAGGAAAAGAGAGACAGAATGTCAGTCTCTATATTGTTTGGATGACTGATTAAAACTATGCAATTGAAATAAACTATCAAAAACGAACAAACACACTCAGGTACACATTACCACCACCACCACTACACTTTGGAAACATTCTACAGATCACAGTACTGTTGCTGTTAGGTGCCGTTGAGTAAATTTTAGACTCATAGCAACACTGTGTAACAGAGTAGAACTTCCCCACAGGGTTTTCCAGGCTGTAATCTTTATAGAAGCAGATTGCCAGGTCTTTCTCCCACGAAGCCGCTGGGTGGATTCGAACTGCGAACCTTTAAATTCGCAGCCGAGTGCTTAACCACTGCACCACCAGGGCTCCTTGATCATAATACTAATAACCTTTTAATTTAAAATCTGGCTTCTTATTAGTCTCTTTCATCATGATATAAAGTATTCAATTAATTAACTACTTCAGATTTCATTTTTTTGGGGAAGAACTTGCATAGTGGAAATGAGTCTTTCCTTAAAATCTAAGAAATCCTTCACTTTATTTCTGTGTCTTGTGTTAAAGTATATGATAAAAAGGTACCTTAAAATTGTTTTCATTGATTTAAATTTAATTTTTGTCTAGATCAGGGGTAGGTAAACTATGGTCCATGGTCCAAACCTGGCCTGTTGCCTGTTTCTGTAAATAAAGTTTTACTAGAACCCAGTCATGCCCATTCATTTACATATTATCTGTTATTGTTTTTGTACTGCAATTACAGAGTTGTGATAGAGACCACATGACCTGCAAAAACTAAAATATTTATTATCTGGTTCTTTACAGAAAGTTTGCCAACCCCCAGTCTAGAAGGTACCTTAGTCACTTTTCTTTTTATTTCCTAAAAAATTCAGGGCTACTCTTGAGATAAGCCTAGAATAGACAAACAACAGTAGTCTAATTGTAAGGGGATAAGGATTGGCTTACTGTTTTAGTCTAAGTACTTAGACACATTCTATAAAAAGTTGCCTATAAAGCAAACAATGGTTATAAACAGAAATACTAGCCCTGTTTCACCTGTGCATTGCCATAATACAATTGGAGAGAACTTTCTATACAAAAGTAAGTAAGCAAGCAGGCAAGCAAACCTAAATAATCAACAACTAAGTCAAGAATATCGAACTTACCAAAAACGGCAAGCATTTTTTAATCATTTATTTTAAAAAAATGATTATTTCAAGACAGGTATTATTTAAAGTAACTACAGAAATGGTCACTATCAGAAGCAATGATCCTTATGTGAAACAAAATTACAATGAAACGCTAAGGTAAGCAAGTACTGTTTCTGTGATTTAGCTAAATTATCTATTGCTTCATACTAACTTGATATTTTTATTATCCCCAAGCTCAAGCTTTTTGGATATAATCTGCCTATTCTAATCATTTTTGTTCCCAGGACACCTCTCCGTTCACATACGGAAGAAAGCTAAACCCTAACAATAGCCAATCTCTACTCAGAAATAATGAACAAGGATCATTGTACTGTAGTTGCAACAATATACTACTATACCGAAGTTTAAGAAATAGTAACTCTTTCTGTAGCAAATGAAGATTTTCCACATGACACTGTTCTTTCTCTGATACTACCGGATTGCTGGTCCATAAAAGTAAGTAAAGATTAAAGTAGATCAGGTTATTTTATCAGTAAATTAGAAATTTTAAAATTCCACATCTTTGGCTTTCATACACTGAAGGAAATCTAATGATAAATAAATGAAGATAATAAAAGTGATTATTTTGTTTGTATATAAGAAAATTTTGGATTAATATCTTTTCTCTTTTTTTCCAACAGTGATGCACTTCTTACCAAATCAAAATATTTTTAGCAAAAATTATTTAAGCCAAAGTAGAAAATTACATGTTTGTATGTGGAATATGTGTATAATTAGTTTTCAAAGTAGTTATATATGTAAATGTTTCCGATGGGTTTTTTCCTTTATCTAATGGATTGCGAATAATACCCAATGTATGTATAATTTATGTTTTTACACTTTTATACCACAATAATTTTTCACTGTTATCACTAACTGAAAATAGCAGGTGCTTTCATATATAGTACCTTTTAGGAAAAAAGAGAATAAAGTTCCATCTAGACAAATAATTAAATTCAAACCAATTAAAACAATTCCAAGGTGCCCTTTAACAGAAGACAGAGAAGTAAAGCGAAGGCTATTTATTCCTAGGTTCTTAAGGAAAGGCACTCCACTATGTGAATTATTTCTTCTAGAGAAAACAAAATCTGAAGTAGGTAATTTAATAAAATTCTTTTACAGGAAAAGTTGCTAATGTAGTTTTAAAAGAATTTATATCATGATGATATGACAAATAGTAACACGTTCAAGCTGGAGTTATTAACAATCTATGAGGGTGTTCAATGGTAAAAGTCCTTCCACTTCGAAAACCATTTATGATAGAACAATTTTTCTTGGAATACATACCTTTCAAACAAACAAGTATTTATGCATCAATTTTTTAACTGATCTAATAAACAACTCAAACTTTCTATCCTCTAAATTCATGACTATTACTATTACCTAGTGTGATTTCATGGCATCTTTCTTAAAGTACTCCTGATAACACAAAATAATAGGTTTGTAATCAAATCATTTAAAGTGAGTTTTCTGCTGAATGTTAAGTGTAAACTGGCTTAGGAAATTCTGCTTGGTAGTTACCCTTTGCAATTACTGTTTTCTAATCATTATATGTTTAAAGAAAATCTAGTTCAGAAACCTACTTTTCACAGAAGTCATTCAGAACACCCCAGTAACCTTCAGGAACAACAAACCATTCACAGTCACCTGGACCAATATTTATGTTAACTGAACAAAAGTTGTTATTTTCCTGATGACCTGAAATGTGAAAGAAGAAAATTATCATCATCATCATTAATGGGTGTCTTTAGAAATGAAACGTTAGAAATGTTCAATAGAGAACACTCTAGTGGTATTCAGTTCTTTCTCATTGTAGCATTTTTTTATCCAGTCTGGTTTTAGAGTTGAGTTTGGTCAACTCCTAACCTATTTCTGAAGAGTGTCTTTGGAAAACATTAAAAATCATGGTTAAGAGCTTGGGCTCTGGGCCAAGCTCCATGGCCTGGTCATTATATGAACCTCGGCAAGTTGCCAAACCTTTCTGACTCAGTTTCCTTATTTGTAGGAGTAGATAATAACAATTCCCATAAATCACTGTGTTGTTATGAGGATTAAATGAAATTATGAATACTTAGAATAGTGCCTAATACATGGTAAGCAATAAATATTAGCTACCTATTATCAATTTCATTACCACTTCTTGTGAACTAATCCTCATTTCTCACAAGCAGTATTAGGAAATTGGTAAAGAAGCAAGAAGTCTGGTTTACAAAATGTAGCTGCTCCTGGGAGTGACGTCAGCAAAACTGGTGGAGCAGGAAAACTCTGCGGATCCGTCCCTCTCCAGAAACACCAAAAAAGCTGGCAAAAACTGTCAGAATCAACCTTACCAGAAGTCTGGGAAAGAGTCAAAAGTCTACAGCAATCAAGAGAAAGCTTAACCAGGAGAAAGGCAACTTAAAAAAGGTAGGAGATCTTTGTGGCATTTTAACTTATTGTACCTCCACCCCCTTCCCCAGCCTGGCTGTGGACTTGAAGACTGCAGCCTGCGTCCTGGTGTGGGAACCCGGTTCTGCTTGGAGCAGAATGGACTTTGTTACCAAGGAATTGTGTTCATCTGTTTTGAACTGACTGGGGTTTCCCCAAAGGACTAACACAAGGGGCTTCCCTTCATTTGGCTTAACTTGAACTAGCTAGGGGGAGGATGTTCCCCAAAACATGGAAAGCCAGAAGAATACGCTGCTGCTGCCTGGGACAAAAAATAACAGGTAAGGTAAAAAAACAGACACACCCATAGCCTGGGAGAAAAAGTCAAGGAGTTGGATTTTCAGGGGAATAAGGGCTTTGAAAAGTTTGCACATATACTGGGAAATCTAGAAAGCCACATGAACAAATACTTGTACACAAATGTTCATAGCAGCACTATTCACAATAGCGAAGTGGAAACAACCCAAGTGTCCATCAACTGATGAGTGGATAAACAAATGGGGTATATTCACACAATGGAGTATTATTCAGTCATAAGTATTGATATACATACTACAAGGTGATGAATCTTCAAAACACTATGCTAAGTAAAAGAAGCCAAACACAGAAGGTCACATATTGTATGATTCCATTTATATGAAATAGCCAGAATAGGTAAACGCATAGAGACAGAAAGGAGACTAGTGGTTACCAGGGGCTGGGGGATGACAGAATGGGGAGTGACTGCTTAATGGGTACACGGTTTCTTTTTGGGGTGATGAAAATATCTTGGAACTAGACAGAGGTAATGGTTGCACGGCACTGTCAATGTACTAAATTTCACTTTTAAATTAGTTAATGGCTAATTTTATGTTATTACCTCAATAAGATAGTGTTGCTGCTCCCTACCCACCCTGTGCACACCATACCCTGAGTCTTTTACGTATTATAATATAATGTGAGGATGGTACTCCTATTGCTTACAACTCTGTTTCCCACCACGGGTAGATGGTTGGAATTGCTCATGTCATGGGCTCTAAATAAATTTAGCTCTAATTAACATTAGAGATGCTAGGACCTCACTATTTAAATAAAATTCCCTTAGGGTAGAACCTAAGACCATGTGTATAGTTTAGAACATACAAGTCTGATTGTGAAGTCCATTATAGTAGGTACCACTTATATTTACCTATGTAATTCCAGGAACAAAGTGTTTGCCCCATAATCAGGGACTCAAAATAATGTTTCTTGAATTGAACTAAACAAACTAATTAAACTATGCAATATTTCTTCTAAGATTGTGTTGTTCAATATGGTAGCCACTAGCCATATGTGGCTTTTGTGCACTTGCAATGTGGCTAGTATGAACTGACATGTGCAGTAACTGTAAAGTACACAACCAGATTCCAAAAACTTAGTATGAAAAATCACAATGATTTTTAGATTGATTACATGGTGAAATGATATTATTTTGGCTATTTCTGAGTTAAAATATTAAAATTAATTTTACTTTATTTATTTTTACTTAATGTGGCTACTAGAAAATTTAAAATCATATATATGGCTTGCAGCATATTTCTACTGGACAGTGCTACACTAAGAGAAGTTCCACAAGACACTGTTGGAAAAGAAGTGCCATACAAACAAACTCAAAACTCAAAACATTCTAGGCACAAGTAACAAACAGGTAATTATATCAAGTTTACTTTTTTCCTAGATTTGAAATGAAAAAGGGCATTCATTTTGATTTGAGGACAATGTTTACTGTTTAAAATAATTCAGAATGGATGGGAGAAGTTTCCAATTGAAATGAATCTTTACTGGTCCAGTCTGATACTACATACGTAAGAAAATCTAACTCAAGAGAGTTCAAATAACTTGTCTCATATTTATATAAGCATTTAATGACAGAGTAGGGACCAGAACACAGGTCTTCTGCCATTTATTCCAGAACTCTTTTCACAGAATTGGGCTTCCAATGGCTTAAGAATAAACACCACAACCTAATCGTGTCATTGAAGCATTCTTAGGAAAATAAGGCCCTCTGGCCTAAGGACTCTGTTGTTGATCCCATCTAAAGTTCCCGAGGAACTTTAAAAAAATATATATTAATGCCTGAATTCCAATCCCCCGAGACTGATCAATTATTGTATTTTTAAAAAGCTTACTGGGAGACTCCAACGTGCAGCCAGGGCTGGGAACCACTGATCTACGTTATCTAGAAGCAAGCATAACCCTATTTTGAAACAATTCTTTGGTTACGATTCAATAAGAAGGCTGACAAAGAAGGAATCGGTCTGGTTTTCAAACCATGGCTGTTGCAAGTAGCAAACAGAAACATCTGAGGGTTATATGCAGTCGTAGGCATCTGTACAGCTGCTAACTGACTAGTGCCTGGTTTGTAACCACTGCTAAATATTTTAAACATTACCCTGTGAAATTCCACATCAATCCAAAGGAGCACAAAGAAGATGGTATATTAGTGTGGGATGGAATTTTAAGTCTAAAACTGATATAATTCATTTTACAAATGAAGAAAAGGACCTAGAGAATGAAAGTAGCTTGCCAAAAGTGGTAAGTCTAATTAGTGGTTCTAAAGTCCAGACTAGATACCAGGATGAATCTAGTGATGTCTCCACATCAAGTGTTTTTAAAATAAAATAGAATGGAATAGATTAGAAAATCTGCTCTTCGATGAAATTTTTTTACATACATACATGTACTAGATCATGATATAAAATATATTTCTTACTGTGATTGTGGTTATTTAAAAAAAAAAAAAGAAGTTTAAAAACGCTGTACTCCGTCACGCTGGAGTAGATGGGATCAAAAACAGAGCCTTTAGGCCAGAGGGCCTTAATTTCCCAAGAATCCGCCAATGACCTGACCCCTTTCCAGGTTAAATTGTTACTATTGCTTCAGAACTGTTAAAAAAAAAAAAGAAAAGATAATGTGAAGAGAAAAAATTTAATAATCTGAGCCCAGACTTTCTGTCTTATCTTATAATAGAAATAATCCTTTCACTTTTATTCATTGTAAATGGAAATAATCTGGTTCTCTTTCATCTTTCACATTTTGATTAATTCTGTATTTCAATTGTACAAGATATGTTAGTTCACAAAAATTACCTGGTGTTCTGCTCCCTGGAACTTTCATATATAGTTGAACTGTGTTCATGCCCAGTATGGTATGACCAACGTGGCTTAAAAGATTTCCTGCTGATACAACGCGCACAAAAGCAGGAAGTTTAGTCAGCTCATGTAGCTGCAACTTCCACCTGTAATAAAATAGCAGATCAAGAGTGAAACTCTGCTAAAAGTATTTGTGGAATTTAACCTTAATTTCTTCAAAAATCTTGTGTTCCAATCAGATCAGAAAATAACTAAATCTACAAATATTTTACTTTAGCAGTCATAGGTAATACAGGAATGTTTAAATTTTTCCAAGGAAAAATTCCTAACAAATAGTAATTACTCAAAAGAAGCATTAAAAATTATGGACCAAGTAACTTAAGGAAAATAGTTCAATTTCTATTTTTATAATTGTATAATTATATAAAAATATAGTTTTAGGATTGTGTAATTAGCATATAGGCAGAGTCCTGATAAATACTACTACAAGGACTTACTTTTTATCATCAGACAGGTCAATGTTGGTCCCAAACTTTATGGTTTTAAAGGGTCCTTTCCTCCTCCTCCCAGAACTTAAAAAAAAAAAAAAAGAGAGAGACAGAGAGAGATAATATTTAAAATATGCCTTTTATAAGAAATACTAGGCGGACATTAAAAATTACTTACTTATCTGAAGATGTGGATTCACTATCAGAGTGATCTTTATGGTGACTTCTTTTCTCATTTTCTTCCTATAGATTAAACAAAAATCATTCCAGCTTAGTATCCTATAACAGGCTACCCTTTCTATTATAAAGTCAAAAAAAAAAAAAAAAAAAAAAGTTAACATCTAGCTTGAATGCTAAGTTTCTACAGGCCTCTTTCACATGAAAACTTCTTCATAGACCTCATTAAATAAAGACTCAAGAAAAGTCAAAGCTTACTGGCAAGATACTTAACCTCCTCCACGAGCCATAACGTTGTGTTTTTCTTTAAAACATTCTTTTATAAGATGAAAAATTATAGATTCTCATATCTGTCCCATATTCAAGATGGGGGAAAACTTAAGGGAAGGTGAGAAGCCTAAGAAGTATCAATCTTGATTATAAATGCCAAGGTGACAAAGCAACGGCACACTTTCTAAACTAGCAGAGGCGTGCACATGTGTACATAGCTATACATGTAAAGAGGGTGGAAAGTAAGATGCTCTCTATTCTTCTATTCAAAATAGAAGAAGTTCTTTCTAGGTTAAAATTTTGTCACAATTAATTATATATAAATGATAAAACATTTACAACATTAGTAAGAAAATTAAATTGCTGGATAAATACAGGTGATTTTAATGCAAACATTACTTTTATTTACAATTCTTAGTAGGATATAGGTAGTGGCAGTGAGAAATTTAACACAAATATACAATTTATAGGTACTGATGTCGTCTTGATTGAAAACGTGAACTCAGGTCAGAATTTTAAACATTTTTCACAGAGAGAAGCAAATCTAATAAATTACAAATTAAAAACATTCAGCCATATACTATATTTCAGCTGTGGGACATGTGAAAAACAACTTTAGTATAGACAAGTATTTGAGTAATACATTTAATAAATGCATTTCTGTGGATGTTTTATGTTCACTTTGTGGGAGAATTCACAAAGTTCTCATTACAGGGCTAGAGGATTCTAGTAATGCTTTTAATAATAATATTCCTCTAATTATTTTTCAAAGTTTTTTTTTTAAATTTTCTATATATTTTGAAATAATTCCTATAAATTTCTGCCTCTCTCTCAGTTTTCCCTTAAAGATTGAGGCTGGTAGAAAGAACACTAACGCCTCTTAAAGGAGTTCTCTCTCAGATAATACTAATCTGGTAGAGAAAAAAACAAATGGGAAGATACAAGATTAGGAATTTTAGAAGCATACTGCAAATCTGAGACTTAGTTTACCCCTCTAAATTAGTGGTTCTCAATTAGGGTGATTTTGCCCCCCAGGAGACATTTGGCAATGTCTGGAGATATTTTTGATTGTCACACTAGGGGTGGGGAGTATGCTACTGGCATCTAGTTGGCAGAGATCAGAGATGCTACTAAACATTACATGATACACAGGAAAACCCTCAACAACAAAAAATTACCTAGCCCAAAATGTCAATAGTGCCAAGGCTGAGAAACTTTGCTCTAAATACAAACATTCCAGAAATAATGGAGATGTCTCACTAGATAGTAGTTCTACTTCAACATAGCAATATTTACTTTATCAACCCACAGGTTTGCTTAAACTTCAATTACAGCAAACTTTATAGCACGTACAAAGTATTTTATATAATTATAAAATAATCAGATGTTTACAGAAGTAAGTGCCCTTTCAAACCTTCAACATAATCTTTAAAACTCTAAAATAATTTTCAGGAAGTAACTACTTACTCTCAATGATTCCTGGAATGAGGAGGCCTGGTACTGTGCATATTTAGCAATTGTAGTATGAGATCTATTACTTTCACAATGCCAGATTTTCTTCGTTCCAGTGGGATCCCAGTTTTCATCTGCGGGCTGCAACAACTGTGTCCTCACTTCTACCATATGTTCATTGTTAGCTTCTACCAAAGTTTTGGTAGAGAAAAGTCCCAGGTCTTCATAAATAAATAAATGTAGTTAATAAACAAAAACTGCATTTGAGATAATATTTTCAAAGTGCTTTTAATTAAGAAAAAAGAGAAAAAAACTTATGGTGCTCCATCCAGTTCTCCTAAAAGTCAACCAGGGTCTCTATACACCCTGAAATGTGCAGGGACAGGTTTGCACACCATACACTGAAGCCCTCGACCTAACTGTCATGTCATCCCAACACAGACAAAATGAAGGGTCCAGGGACTAAAGTTTCACTTATTTAATTTTTGCAAATACTAGGAAATACCTAGGGGGTTACAGACCTTATTAGTAGCATCAAAGTTCACCCACAGTTCATATTCAAAATATTTTTTATTAGTTAACTTAAATTATAATTTTATAATTAAATGAAAATAAAAGCTAAATTTAAAAAGTACCATGAAATCACCAATAACCAATATGACCATCATATATTCACATCATGGATTAAAGAAGTGATACACATACATACATTTAGAGCCAGAAAAACATTAAAATCAAAACACAAAAAACTGAAGAAAAAAAATAATCAAAATGAATTGCTGCCAGTGTTTTAAAAGTTACAAGACAGTAAAAGAAATACATACACTTTTTTTCTTTCCTTAATTTAAAGCTTACCTAACTTAAGAGCTCCAGCAAGGCCACGTATTACTGTAACAGGGTTGTTTGGATTTGTACAAAATTGATGTAATGGAGGAAAGAAAGCATCACGTTTATTTTCCAACTGTAAAATTAAAATGTGTGGTTAGATCTCAGGAAAAGGAAGCTTCTATTTAAATATTATGTCACAAATTTGTATTCATTATTTATTGCATTTTAAATAATGCATGCTCTATACTATTGCTATTTCTATTGTTATATTTTAGAATTTTTATCATTATGCCTTTCGCTCCTAATTACAGTTAGATAGTAACCACATAAATTTCTCTGGCCCATTTTATCTTGAACAAAATATGCAGGAGAAATAAAATTTAAGTTAAACTTTAAAATCAAAGTATTTAAAAAAAAATATTATAAAAACGAAAACAGGCTGAAGAAAGCCCAAAGAAGACAAATCTAAGTTTTGCATTTTTTTCCTCAAACATCAGTTTAATAGATTTTATGACGCTTCTATCCCAGTGCCTTCCTTACATAGTAAGAGATCAATAAATACTGGTTGGAGGAAATATTAATATAACAAATGGCTTTTAGAGAGCAAAAAGGGCCAAATCTCCAAAAGCAAACTCTACTGTCATTTTGTAGATGCAAGATCATTCTGGTTAACTACATTAACCTCATTTTATAGCTTAAATTTTTTTCATTTGGAGTAGAAGTGACAGGATGGAAGGAGATGGGATAGGACCTATTTGGGAGAAAGATAAATAGGAGTTTTGACTGAACTCTTATCAACTTCCTGTATCAGATACCCAAATTTCTGTAAATTAAAAGTAATACCCAGTTTTAAATAACCTTTGAAGCTTTTTAATAACATATCTACTATCACATTTTATATTCTCAAATACTTTTTTTGAAGGTAGATAATATCCTTTTGTTGTACATGCATAAAACAGAATGAATGTTAAGGTCCATACAACCAGTAGGTGGCAGAAATGCAGATTTAGAACCCAGTTTACTCAAAAAGGTTACACTTTTAGGTAACTTCTGCTTAATATTGCTCAAAATTGGGTCAGGACAAAGTATTTCTCGCTACTCTCATATAACCCAGTAAATAATTGAGAAGAACATTTTAAAAATGCTATTACAAAATCTTTTTTTATACATCTTTTTTTCCCTAAAATATTCAAGTTGTTGCCAATGATTTTAATGTTTACTGAAAGGCATTTGTATTAAGTTAAAGGAAGATCATCTAAAAGACAGGTAAGTGCAAACACTGATTTATTTCTAGTCAGTCAATTCAGACTCACATAAATACTAGGTGTAGGTGGATTCAGCTTGTCCTTTGGCAAGGGAGGGTACGGTGAAGATGGTGGTCTTGGAGGTGGACATTTATCCAACAAAATGCTACTGTTAGATAAGCCATTTTTACCTAGATTCCTTAAAAGAAGAAGAAAGGAGAATAAATCAACTGTACATTTATTTAGAAAACAAACCCTGAATTAGGTCCTAATTAAAATACTAGGTATTTGTACAAATATAATCAATCCATGAGATTTGGATCCATCAGGATAATTATTAATTTCAGCTAATACTCATCTTGATTCCCGTATTTTCCATCGAAGAAAAATAATACAAAAGAAACCATACCACATAAATCGTTGACGGTATTCTCTACTTTGATAACTTTTAATTTTTTTCACTAAAAGAATAAACATGAACTGCAATTTTCTTTCCATCAGATTCTTTCCATCAAATGTTAAAACAATAACCTGACCAAAATAGGTCTAGACAATAGTAACAATAGAATGTCTCTTTCTCCTACGTCTTATCTTAGCAATTACAACCAGAATATCTTTGTGACAACTTTCAAATCTGAAAAGATCTTTTTTCTTTTCTAAAATCCTAAAAGAATTTTCCACGCAACTTATTTACTAATAAAATTCAGCAAGACTCCAATCTACTAAATTTTACATCAATTTATACCAGTTTTTAAAATTATGTATATACTTGCTATCCATTCCGACACTGTATATAATTATTGCTTATTAGCATTTGGGTTTCTTTTCTTTAATGAAGGTATTATATTTATTAAATTATAAATTCTTGAAGTATGGTAGAATTATTCCCAAACTGTAATTCTTTTAGTGGAAGAATAAAAGATATTTCCTATCTCTTAAAGTTTCTATCCAACTCAGAAAACCAGCAAAGATATAATCTTAGAGCTTTCAAATCATTCCAGGTTAACTAACCTACTTCACACACTTATTACAAGTTCAAAAAGAGTCAATGTATTAAAATATCAAATATCTTAACATTAAAATTTAAGATAAGAATTTGAAAATTTTATTATTGAGGGGAGAGAAAAAATCACTAACTGTGCTTACTTAAGAAGGAATTAGCTATTTTTCATCATAAATTATAGAATAACAAGTTGAAACAAAATTAATTTTCTTTATTTTGCTATGTTTTTGCTACATAGGAAAAATCTTATACAAATCAGCCCTTTGTGGTTGGCAATAATGAAAACTAAGGCTTAAAATTCAACTGTATAAACTTTTGGATGTTATACTAAATAAAACCATAGGCATGTCACTTTTTAATTTTCTCTACTAAAACTCCAAGTAAAATAAGAGTTCATGACAGGTTTCAAAGCAATGAATTAGGTTTAAAATAATGAACTTTTATGTTTTCTTTTAATAAAAGGATATGAAAATATTTATTAAACTGAAATTTTAAGGTTCACTAACAATTAAGGTTAAAGGTTAAACAAATGAATATTCTAACCAAACCCAATTTTCTACACCTCTCCACAAAGCATGAGTGACTCATACATTTAAAGATAGGCATGGTACTTTAAGGCTTAAATTTAGGTATAAAATTGTTAATTTATAAATTCCACAGAATTTTCACTTTCAACAAGTAGAAAACATCTGGCTGAGCCCGGCAAAGAAACAATTCAAATATTTTCATTAATCCAATGCAAGATAAAATAGGCATTCACAATATCCACATAAATAATAACTGGTGTTCACCCTGAACTGTACATGCCACTCTTTACCTTTAGATTTTAAACAAAATATGACTCAGAATACATAAAATTCATTTTCTACAGCAAGAGACGGATGTAATATATTGTAAATTATTAATATTTTGAAAAATTAGGAGACATGGGCCAACTATTAAACTGTACCATAAAATAATAGCTCATGCTAATTATACGTGGTACCAAAATTTAAGCTTCTACAACATTCTGGATGTTGAGAGATGAGACTAGAAAACAGGGGTTGACAAATTAGTAGAATTAATAGAATTTGTCATTCCTACAGTTCTGTAACAACAACGAAAAAGGACAAACGAAAAATAAAACAACGGAAAATGTAGCTGCCCGTATTTTAAAATAGAAAAGGTGAGGCATGTCCAAGGGAGCTGATATTGACTGAATCACTTGAATGTTGCAACAATTTTAAATCATAAAAGATGCAAAGGTATTGTAAATGCCTTTAATGTACAGCACTGACCACTGCAACACCAAGATAAACCAAACAAGAGCCAGATTAAAAATAATCATCACTTTAAAAACCACGTATGTGAAAATAAAGATGGTGCTCAGAATAGTGTGATCAAATCATATCTAACAGTTTTTTTTTTAAACGGTGTTTCAAACACTGACCACCTACCTATTAAGTCTGAAACAAATAGGAACTAATTATGCAGTTGTCTACATAGTGACGGTAAGCTTTTTCCTCTTAAAAACAGACTTAAGAATCCTAATGCAAAGGGCAGAGCTGTGGATGACAGAAATAGATCTTTTTCTTCTGAATACGTAAGTGTCCAACAATGTTATAACACTTCAAGCCAAATAATGAAACTTTACTATAATAATCCAAAGTGGAGAAAGGAGTTGAAGTTAAAGAAGCAGGTGTTGAAACACTTTCTCTAAGTAGAATAGGAAGAAGTTAATCATTGTTCAATTATTTAAAATATTGGGCTTAAACTTATTTTCAAGTTTACCCACATCATTTGGTAGAGAAATAAAAAAGTGTTCTACAGGTAAACCTGTCTACACTTTATCTTTCCTTATGAAGCTCCTAGACCAGAGACATCAACTATCTAAGTACTTTCCCCTTCTGAGTTTTAGACTCCTGCCCACACAGGCCATCACCAACAGAACAGAAATCGCAAACAACGTGACACCTACCATTGTCATCCTGACTTTTTCTCTAAGCCTCAGAACATTTTTTTCTCCAAATTATCAGACTGGTTTTTGTTTTTTAGTCTCTTCATTAATAAACCAAGGCCTAGAGTTACTGGAATAACTCAAGTAATCCCAGCAGTTGAGAGCATTTTGATGAATCTAGCTATCTATAACATGTTTGTACATACATACATACATGTATATACACACGTGTATACAAATATATACACAAAATAAGTCTCTGTGATAAGGCAATATTGCCTTAAGAGCTAAAAGCTGAATATAAAACAATGTGCTGAAATACTCTGAAGTGACTGATCATATACATCTCAAAAATGAAATGGAAGATTATAATCTTTAATATATTAAGAAACACAATCAACTCAGTGCCAAAACACAATCAACTCAGTGCCTATAGCATAAGACATTATTAATGAAAGCTTATGATATCTGCTACTGTATACTGTTTATAACTTGGGCAACAAAAACACAACTCCATGGAACTCTTTCCAACAGTATTCCTCCAGAAAATCCTTAGCTCCTATGTATCCCATGATGTTAGTATGGGACTTCTAATTTTTTCCCTATTTTATATCAACTGTCCTAAGTCTAGAGAGAGTAGATGAAGGAGGAAGCATCTGATTAGCACGGTGGCAGCAGTAGTATCTAGGAAACAGGAAAGGCCCCAGCAGCAAAATGGGGAGCAGGCAGAAGACAGTACAAATTGGAAGCAAGCCAGGGCACTGTGTCTGAAGAGAGGCCAGTATAGCATTTGATCTGGGTATTAAAATACTCCTATTTTCTTTAGGCCCAGAATTAAAGTGAATGATAGTGTAACTTTTAGACAAAAAGATTAATATAAAAATCTTAAATTTCTAAAGAATCAAATTTTAGAAACTCAGGAGCCTTACTACGTTTCAGAAGAATTTAGTCTGATTTAGTGATCATACAATGTTGTTTTAAGTTACTGACATATAAGACAACCTTGTAGGCAGTTAAGACTAATTATACTAGTCACTATGTTATAGACCAGTGAGGAAAACTCTGCCAACGAGTCAACAAAAAACACAAAGAGAATCATAAAATATGAAAAAGAGGCCATTTTTGCTTTAGTCTATGTGATAATAATTAAAGACAACAGCTAATTAGTTAAAAATTGACAAAAAATAATGAGATGTAATAGAAATTAAAACATACTGGAAGGTATTTTAAACACTCAACTTAAAAAGCATCTAAAACTATATAAAAGAATAAATTTAATTTCACCTTAGTTGTTCTTCAGTGAAAAACATTTAATGGTGGACCTATGATACCTTCTAATAAAATAACCTGTACTGCATAAAGGATAACCAAGCTTTCAGTACCAATAAAGAAGGCACACATAAGCACTAGTAGCTGTAGGAAGAGATTTATAGAGATGTTAAGTGAGAACTGTTTTGAATTTTCAAATGTAAAAGTTGTAGTAAATGGTCAACGTAGATAAACTAGAACTAATGATTATACTTTCTATTTATAAGTGTTTATTTTCTATACATTACTTTATTATAATCTACAAGGTCTTTTTAAACTCTACTATATCACTGCTCAAACTTTATTTTTAATATTTTATTGAGTTTTTGGTGAAAGTTTACACAGCAAGTTAGGTTCCCATTTGACAACTTCCACACAAATTGTTCAGTAACATTAGTTACATTTATCACAATGTGTCAGCAGTCTCTGTGTTCTGTTTGCTCCCTTTCTAGTACTCTAGTTTCCCTGCCCCCTTATCTTTTCATCTT